CCAAAATTCCTGCTTAAAAATTACCTTCCAAAGCAAGGCAGCCACATGAATGGCTTTATGATTATCACATCTGATTAACTATGATTTTCTCTTAACAAATTAAATAGTATATTAATGTCTAATGTAAACTAGAACCCTCGACTACTAAAAAATGACCTTGCTGTCAGTGCTATAGGTCTCAGAATATGGCTGCCAAGTCTTTTCTCCGTTATCCTTCTCAACAGGAAGAGATATTTATTTTAAGTAAAAAAAAAAAAAAAAGTTTACTTAAAAAAATAAATGGGACAAGATGTATCTAAATCAACAAAGGCAGGCCCTTAAGTTAGTTCAATCACAATGTTAAAAAGTCACAAAATCTCTATTTTAACTTAAAAAATTATTTAGTAGTTTGTTTTCAATTATCAGTTCTAGACTCAAACCTTTTATATAAAATGAAGAGACATGGCCTCTTCAAACTAGTTTTGGGTGGGATGAATTGGCAGTCTGCAAAGGGACCCTCTGCTCTCCCATGTCCACCAAAAGGACCCATGAGGCTCATGTCAATTTATGGTAAATCTCAGCCCACTTAGAAAAAGCCTTCATGAAATTAAACTAGGTACAAAACTTATATACCAACCTTCAATAAACTCATTTATTTCTAGGACATTTGGGGGATACCCTAATCATTCATTTTACTCAGACACAAAAGAACGCCACCCAAAACTTTACCATCTTAAAATTAGCTCATATCTCATGCTTCCAAAATAAGACTTTACAAGCCATTCGTTAACAAATATAGCAGCAACTCTGCTCTAATGATAATTTTTAAATTATTTTTATTTTTAAGATTAAGCATCCTCATTGACAATTCAGAAACAGTCCTTGCTCTTTGGATACACACATAAAATAGTTAAAAATGATTCCCCAATTTTCAAGGACACAGTAGGAAAAAAGAACGTTCACAGCTGCAGCTGAATTCTTCTGTCCTCTTTTTCAGAAAAAATCTTATTTTGCTACCAAGCCACTCTCCAAATCAAAAGGAAAGACAATTTTTCAAAAAGCCAATAAAACCCAGAAACAGGGATCTAGGCAAGCCAAAATTATCCCCCAAAACAGTGCTGTTGCAAAAAAGGGAAGGAAATCAAATTCCCAGAGCTCATTAGAGAAGACCTTAAAAATAATTCAGAAAGTTAAGACTAAACTATGGTGGTGTAGAGTTCAAAAAGCAGATAATTAAGGAAAGTTCAGCTTGGGAATATATCAGGCTGTCTCCTATTGCAGCAGAGGAAATAAAAATGTGAGCTGCTGGAGTTAATATTAAAATTGTCCTTACCAGTGGAAGGTTGGGTGAGGGTAAAGGGAGAAAGGCAGCAAAAGACAAGTTGTTTTGAATCTACGCTCTACTGCCCAGGAAAGCCAAACAGGGCTGAAATTCTTCTGAGCCATATCATTAAATAATAGACTTGGCTCAAAACCAGTAGACTATACACCACTAACAAATATCAGGTGACCCACAGTGTTTATGGTATTAAAAAGTATTTCTAAAATTAGCTATAAATTTCTATTCTGTAAGCAGTAGACCAAAATGACACTGGGCCATCCAATCAGTTATAAAGGGCTCCCTCCAAAGGGAACTAACTTAGCAGAAATTTAGGTTGGAAGGAATGTAACATGGAGTAAATGAGACAGGCGCTCGGTACAATTTTAATAAGGCTTCTACCCACCGCAGTTGTTAAAAGAATAGTAGTACTGAGGGGACTCCCACAGAATGTCTTAGAGGGATGCTTCTCAGAGATAAAAAGGGTCTACAAGTTGAACTCTTGACCCCTCTCCTTACCTAAAGCTTGGGGAAAATAAATATTTAATTTTTAACTATTCAGAACTTTGGGTACATAGTAATATTTAATATTCTCTAGTTTTCATCTTCTGAACCTTTGGCTTATAATTTTTTCTCAATTATGTTACATTGAAAAATGCATGAATGTGCCTTGATCAGTAGTACCACATGAAAATAAAAACCTTCTTTCATATCTTCTACATTATAAGAGTGAATGAATGGTACCCTAAATATTCTGCAGTTACTTTGTATATGCAACAAAAGATTAGGGCAAACCATTTCACTTCCACATCTTCAGCAGGAGGTAACGAGTCTTCAACCTAATCTTCCCAAATATCTCCATTAACATCCACAGCATGGAACAACCTGGAAACATATAACGTACAATTTTATACACTTGGAAGAAACTGAATATAATTTATTTCTCTCAAAAATACTTTCTGCTCTCTTCTGATAACTTCTTTATCTTTTCCTCTCCTTTAATTTTCTCTTGAGAACTAAAATACGGACCCTCTGAACAAGCTGCCTTAAAGTTTAGAGCCCTTTTATGATCCAGACAAACTCACTAGGGCCAAGGATAAATAACAATAGAACACGCGCATCACAAAACTGATACTCAATGTATACAATACGTGGAATAAGCCAGGATTGGGGAAGTCAGGCCATCTAGAAGAAGTTGAATTCTTCCAAGACACTATACCTCTATTACATGCTAATCGTTCCATTCTCTCTGTCTTCCTGGTCCTTATATTCTCCATTTGTAAAATGTTTTATAGTTGCCAACTTGTCTTTCTTCCCTTATGTTACCTAAAATGTACACAATTTTCAAACCAGATTTCCGGTGGTTTGTGGGCAGAGCTTGTTTCTTCAACTTCTCTTACAGTTTGATAACACCAATGATAATAGGAACTATAGAGATGCCTATTAACAAAGGTCATCCCCTGATGCTGAAATTGGAGCTGGTGAAGAATAGGATATTCACACTGTGCCAAGGCATCACCCCACAGATCACTTACTAATAGCAAAAAAGAAGAAGTCCCTTTACAGTGGAGCAAATGATAAAACTGAGCATCATACTCCATAGTGGGACAGCCTGACATTATGGACCTGATATGATACAATATGAAGTACACACTCAACCCTCATGAAGTATTCTTGTCAAAATGTTACTCTACATCTAGTCACACTTCAGTCTAGACCTAACTTTCAATTTACAGGAAATAAAGAGGATACAGAAACAAACTAAAAGGCACTATGAAGAAACAAAACTCTAGAAGGTAAGACATTCTCGCATAGGACAACTGGCCTGGACTCTTCAAAAAGTCAGTGCTCCCCTCAACACATACAAAAAAAAAAAGTGGGCAAAACTTTATATTAAGAGACTAGCGACAAAAACCAAATAAAAGAACTGAACTCAACTAGATCCTGGTTTAATAAAACAGCTTTAGAAGATATTTTTAGGGATAATTGGGATGTTTTAAATGTTTATTAGATGATAATATACCATTATCATTAAATTTTTTAAAGTACTATTGTATGTAGAAGAATATTCTTTTTTTTTAAAAGATTTTATTGGGGAATTGGAGAAGGGGAACAGCCAAATTGTCCTTCAATCTTAGGTGTGGAGGGAGCAGCTAGCTCAGCTCCAAGTCCAGTTGCCATCCGGCCACCTGTCGGCAGCTCGTGGCCACTCAGCTCAAGGTGCTGTGTTCAATCTTAGTTGCAGGTGGTGGGCATAGTCCACCACGCCATGCAGGACACAAACCAGCAACCTTGTTGCTAAGAGCACACGCTCTAACCACTGAGCAATCAGGCCGCCCGTAGGCAGCTCAGCTCAAGGTGCCATGTTCAATCCTAGTTGCGGGTGGGCATAGACCACCATCCCATGAGGGAGTCAAACCAGCAACCATGTTGTTAGGAGCACGTGCTCTCACCAGCTGAGCCATCCTGCCACCTGTTGGCAGCTCAGCCCGGGTGCAGCTCACTGGCCCATGTGGGAATCAAAACGGCGACCCTGTTGCTCAGAGCTCGTGCTCTTAACCAACTGAGTCATTTGGCCAGCCTATAGAAGAATATTCTTATCTTAGGAGATACATATGTAAATATTTAGAGATGAAGTATCATATCTTCAAGTCAGGGTCAAGTAGTTCAGCAAAAAAGTTAGAGAACAAATATGGTCAAATATCATCAACTGTTCATTTTGGTGGAAGGTATCCTACTATTCCTAGTCCTATCCTTTCAACTTTTCTGTCTGTCAGGATATTTTCACTATAAAAAGTTGAAGAGGGTAAAAAAATAAAATAAAATAGTGTATTTTCACCATAAAACTCATTGTCAAGACAATAATATAAAAATTCATAATATGGAAAAATGTGAAACAGAATTCTCTAATAAGCAAAGCACTTAAGTCAAACACTGGATCTGTGGTCTGCAAATGAAATGCCAAAAACTGCTGCTGAGCCCAGGGAATGCTGCGTATACATACCGGTTAAAACACGGGGAAGCAGGATCAGTGAAATGTTTATAAGGGTTTGCTCTAGACAGAGAACCCATGCAAATCCAACAGAAATACTGCATACAGCCAGTACATGTCATCTTGTTACATCCATCTAATTTCTGGGGGGGAAGGATAAAAAGGGAAAAGTAATTAAGGCTGTAAAAGCAAAAGAGAATGCATATGCCAAAAAGATTTCATACAACATTCTCCTAGTCTCCCTTTTCTCATACAGGGCTAAGATATATAGGTAACACATTGATAACGATTTAATGCTTACCCTTTTGTATTACAAGTAAAACAGAAAATACTTAGAAGGTGTTCCTACAACTCCTTAACATGTTCTCTTCTGATAAACTGTAGATGCAAACCAAACATATATAAGTGGAATACGTTGTTAGATTAATATTACAATGTCTGGACTTAATGTGTGTGATTCTAAACTTTTTACATAAATCTAATTAAACATTTGGTATCAAGTTCTCCATTCTATCATAGGGTTGACACATGTAAGAAGTGGTTAAATAGAATGCCAACTTATTTAATGGAGTAACTGGGGAACGACCACCACGTTCAGTTCAGATACACAGCAGCTCCCCCTTAACTGCAATTTTGTTACCTGCAGTCAACCGTGGTCCCAAAATATTAAATAGAAAATTCTAGAAATAAATAATTCATGAGTTTTAAATTCCACACCGTTCTGAGTAGTGGGATGATATCTCGTGCTGTCCTGCCCAGGATGTGTGTCATCCCTTCCCGTTGGTCACTTAGTAGCCTTCTCGGCTATCAGATTGACGGTCACAGTATTGCAGTGCTTGTGTTCAAGTCACCTTTATAATTGCCTAATGCTACCTCACAATGCCTACATTATTCACCTCATTTTGTATCATCTCACATCATTTCAAGAAGGGTGAGTACAGTACAATATATTTCAATGGAAAGAGACCACACATAACATTTATTACAGCATATTGTTAGAATTATTCTATTTAATTAGTTATTGTTAACCTCTGTGCGTAATTTATAAATTAAACTTTATCATAGGTATGTATGTATAGGGAAAAATAGTACATATAGGTTTCAGTATTATCTGCAGTTTCAGACATCTACTGGGGGTCTTAGAACATATTACCCACAGATAAGTGGGGGGGGGGAGTGAGGTACTGTAATGGATTAGAACAGTAGAATCAAATACAAAGATATATTTTGATTTTAAAACATATTACGATTTTTGTCAAGAAGCAATAGATTTATCTGTCTATTTTGGTTCAGATTACAAAAATGTCTCCATTTCCTAAGGAAATACTTGTTAAACAGGTGTGTTCAATTCCAGGATGAATAGTTTTGAGATATCAGGCTTGATTTTATTTTTTTTTAATCGCATCAATGAGTTAAGACTTGATTGTAGCTCTAATATGGCCTCCTTCCTCATAATCCATTCAATTTTGAGGTAGATATAATGTGAGAACAATTATCACGGTATGAAAGCACTTTGAAAAGGGAAGTCTACATCCATTTAAGGTCAGTAGCAATATTAAGTAGTGAATTTGCATCTTCCAAGTAAGCACGTTTAATAAATACTAAAATGTGTTTTCTTAATTAGTCATGAAATTAATAGGGTTCTTGCAAGTCTGTTTACCTCTATGGGAGTCCCACAGCACGGGCAGCTCTTTGAGTTCTTTTCCAGCCACTCCTTACTTTCCATCTCTTCCAGTGCCTTCTGAATCACCCTCTTACCATACCTCTGTTCTAAAAATCTTTTATTGGCTTCATCTGCTTGCAGGTACACATTTCGTAAGTCTATTAATTTCTCTAGAAAGTGAAATGGAAAATTAACTTGTATACAACTTTGCAACACTAATTCAAAACCATTAAAAATGGCCTTAACCTTTGACTACTCAATAATGCTACCCCTGGGACTTTATCATAAGGAAGTAATCCAAAGTAAGTAACATGCATGGAAATGCATATAACAATGGCAAACACATCAAATGTCCAAGGGAATAACTATGTGTGAAAGAGCCATTTAATGATGTAATATTCAGTTATTAAAAACTTATAATTAGGATGACTACAACTCAATTAAAATACTCATTATAGAAACCAGAAAAAAGCATATTTAGGTTATAACTATAATGACTAAGAACAAAAAGGAATCCTCTAACTGGAAAAGTTGGACCTGCTAACAGTGGTAGAATAATAAATAGGTAATCTATCTTTGATTTTGACTTATTAATGTTGATATGTTTGTGCAACTAGTCGTATAAAGACTGACTTATCTAAAAAACGCAAAAGTTGAAGCGGACATTGCTTTTCCATTAAGTCAGCATCATTCACCATTTGAAAATAGCAAGGCCTACCAAATGAACAAAAAATACCTTTGGCTAAAGGGCAAAGACTGTTTAATCTGGTATAGTAAAAAAAAAGTCAGTGAATAAAATTTACCACCCAGAGGTACTGAAAAGTTCCTCCTGCCAACTTTTCTCCTTGATACTCTTTTAATCTGGTTTCTCTACTGGTTTATCACCTAAATGGAACAGGCAGCCATTCCCAAAGGTTTTACTTATAGACAATAGAACTAGCTTTTGTTCATAAAACTATAAGCCTTATTTTCAGCTTTTGTTCACCATTCTATCACCTTAATTTTCAACACAGTTAATTAAAGGCCTCTCTCAATAATGCTCTGGTTATTGTATTAGTTTACTTTCCACGCTGTCTCCTTTTTTATGCAGTGAACATCTTCTGGTACAGAATCCTATCTTTTCTTTCACCTGAATCCTTTCTCTGCATTGTACATTCCCATGGCTCTGTCACCTCTGCTCAGATGAACAGATAGTGTATCTTTTTATCCTGTCATTTTTATCCCTCTAATAATTGAAAACATGTTTGTGTTCCTAGATATCTTAAGGACAAAGATTATTGCTCCAATGTTCTCAAAATAATAAAATTGAAAGTACTTCATATATTTTATATGGTAATATCTAATATATCTAAAAATATAAAGAAAAAGATGCCAAATTTTGCTGAAGCCCCCAAGCCTACCTTTGATTTTTCTTCCTCAAATGATGTGAAACACCTGAAACGTACTTTAGCTTCTCAATGCTAAAGCTACAGAAATCTAAAAAATGGCTCATATTATGCTGTAGTAAGTTCTCCATCCCACCAGCCTGGACCTACTACAAGCCTCTGCTCTAGGCAACTGAAAGCATCACTCATTCTCCTCTCAGGGTACTTTCTTGGAGATAACGACACTCTGCTAACAGTAGCAATCAGTAACTATAATACTAATGGCATTAATAGTTACCATTTTACATGTATTTGCCCATTGTTCTCAAACTATCTATAGTGAAGGACTACTTTTTCTTCCCCACTCTATCAAGGACAATCAAATTAATTATTAGAAAAATGAATGTAAAAATACAAAAGAATAAGCCTAAATTTTTATTAGATTTGATTGACATAAAATTACTCCATGATATTGCTATAAAAATTTCTAGCCTGGACTCTCAATTTCTGTATTTATCTTGTCATAGACCAGTGTAACAACTACAACAACTTCAGGAAGCGCTACAATAGTTCATTTCATCTTTACAATAACTCTATGAAGTACTATTATCATCATCCCTGTTAGTCTGAGAAAGTCACCAAAGTCCAGTTAAATCGATGTCAAGGGCCTGATTTCTCAATCCTTATTTAGATCAGAAACGGCAAACAGGTTTCCCCTCTTGTGCCTACTTCAACAGCGGGTGGCTTTCTGAAATGCTGCATGGAGGAAGATTCTGAGGGCTCCCTGGGCTCAATGAGAAAGCGCTTGATGACTGATTAGACATGTGCCACAGAAACATGAGTGACAGCTACGCATTTGCCAACCAAGATCTACATTATTTCATGTTCATAGATAAAAAATTACCTTGCCATTTCTTCCCTGGAATATTCTTCCCTGATATCTGCATGGCTTGTTTCTTTACCTCCTTCTAGTCTTTTTATTATTTTTTTTTAAGCTTATAAAAGTTTGAGCCAAACTGACAACAATGCCAGGAAGCAAAATCTCAACGGATTAAGAAAATGCTCCCTCCTTTGTCTTTACGCAAACCACTTTGCCAGTGAGGCCTTCCCTGGTTTCCCAAAGTCAAATCCCAAACCCCTTCCCCTTCAGAACATTTCATATCCTGTTCCTGCTTTATTTTTCTTTCCTCCTCAGCACTTAACCACCATCCAATAGTCTTATTTATTTTGTTTGCCTGTCTCCTCCATTAGAATGTAAGTTTCATAAGGGCATTTGGTCAACTACTATTATCCACAAAAGCTAAGACAGTAACTGACACAAAAACATCTGTTGAATGAACACTTCCAAATTGAGAAAAAAGTGATAAATTGGGTTTTTTGTTTTGTTTTTGGTAGGGGGCTGGGGGACTGAGTTCACAGTTACAGCTTACCTGCAGTCACCTTGCATGGAGACACGCCATGGTAGGTCAATCGGCACAAGGTACAGAAGGCAAAGTTGCAGCTGGAACAGATGCCCATGGTGCAGCCAGGCTCCTGCATGACAGGCAGCTGGCAGCACGGGCGGGGGCAGTACACCACATCTGCCATCAAGTCCAAGGTGGACTGGAGAAGTAGCCGGTCATAACGAGCAAATAACTCTGCTTCCACTAACTCTTTGACCTAAAGGAAAATATTTTAAAACACAGAGGTTTGATGATTTCCCAACCAGTTCTGATCCTGAGAAGATCCTTAGGCTACTGATACAAACCAGATGTACATAAATTAAACTGCTCTACCTCACTTCAAAATCAAACCAAGTATGGCAAGTCTGTATCTTGACTGAGATGGTGGTTACTTGGGTCTACACATTTGTCAAAACTAAGCAAATTGTACACTTTAAACAGGTACATTTATGCCTTAATAAAGTTCTTTTTTTTTTTAATTACACTTAGTAGGCTGTCCTTATGTTAAAATCTGTAAATGATTCAGTTAACCATTGCAAGGGCTATCCCTTTCAGATCCCACCTCACACAAAGACAGGCTAGTGATTCCCCAAGGTTGATGGCATCCTAGTAAATATACAAAGCATATCACCAGAACATGCATCCCTGCCAAGGACTGCCCATTCTGAGGTCAGCAAAAGCAGCATTTATGTTTGCTTAAACAGTAAAGACCACAGTCTTCTTGCTGGATAGAGGGAAACAATCTTGTGGGTTTGCTCCAGGGCCTCCGGCTGCCCTGATGAGCCCTAGCAAGGAAGTTCCTGAGAAGAGGTCTCCCTTTGTGAAAAGAGAATTAGGACACAGCTGTCAGCAGAGTAAAGAGTTACCTGACCAGGAGTGGCCACCGAAGGGCACTTGGGTTCTGGGCAGTTGAGGCATTGAACTTGGCCATCTCTGATCTGGATTTCAAAGTAGTCCTTCAGGCAGGCTTTGCAGTACACATGCCTGCACTCCAAGAAGTACATGCATTCACTACCCAGCTTCTCACAGAAACAAATATTGCACAGGAACAATTTACTATTAAAGCATTTTATCTGCTGTGCTTGATCGAAGTCCAAGATTTCCTGGATCAGACTTGACAATGATTCCACATCCTGCACAGCTCTCTCATCTACAACCTCTTCTTGGTCTACGTCAGATCCAGCAGCTCCTCCAAAATCTAGCTCTGTGTTGGCAGAGGCTTGAGCCGTCCTCCTCTGCACTTTTTTCTGAGGACCCATCTTGAGCTCAAAAGGAGAGACAATATTCAGGTACCCTAGAGTCTCTTCTTTAAGAAACTGCATCCAGGCAAACAGGACCACACTGCCACGGTGTTCTTCCCACAGGTTGTCTAAGTGCTTGCAGAGAGCAGACAGCTAGGAGAAAACACATGAGGATGCTAGTGAGTTTGGGAAGATCCCGATGCTGTCAACTCCTGATTTCCCCTGAACTCTTTTTAACTTGTAAGTTCGGCTCTCTCAGTTCCTAATTTTTTTTTTTTTTTACTGCTGTGATAACTGTGCTGCACAACAGCACCAGTACTCTTGTCAGAGCACTTCTTAAACTCTTCAGCCACATGAGCCACAGTAGAACACAAAGCCCGAAGCTAGAAGAAGTACCATCAAAACAAGAGAAATGGTGTGACTTCACAAAATGTAGAACTAGGTTTACCATGCACACACTGCTGAATGGAGGACTTTCTGTTCTTTAATTGTTCTTTGTGTTAGTATTGCTATATACCTCATGTAGGAGAAAAAGATCTGGTTGTAAAATGAACTATTTCTATTCCTTTGGAGTCCTAGCCCTGTACCCTGCAATAATGGTTAGAAAGAGAAAAGTTTAAAATACCACCCAAGTTTTAAAATTAATTCTAACTTTCAGTCCTATCAAAAAGCCAATTCATGGGCCAGCTGAGTGGTACATTGGTTAAGAGCTGGCTTGGGAGGCCAGAGAGTCCCGGTTTGGATCCCACATATGAGGGCCAGTGACACTGCCCTCTACAGTTAAGATGCTGAACAACAGCTCAACCTGGAGCTGGGTTGCTGTGAGTCACCGGTGACAGCAACAGCGTAGGGTGCAGCCCCTGCTGCAGTGGGTTGCCATGGGCTACCGTGTGTACCCAGCAGCCAGCGTGAGCAGCCAGCAGCCGCCGTGAGCGGCCGTCCAGAGGCCAGCGACTGATCTGCCTCGCCCGGGAAGTGCGCAATGATGGTGCCAACTTGGGCCAGTGAAGCAACGTCCTCCACAACTAGACTGAAGAACAAAA